AGAAATAAATCCTTAGGTAAGCAGAGGTTTGCAAGGGCAAAAAATGGAGCAAAGCACTCAAAAACAATCTAAGTGATTTTAGTCCACACAGAAAGACAACGCCAAGGATACACAGCGCGGAGCTTTGGAGCAAGTTCCATGATGTACTCTTGGGTGATGCGTACAGCATTCTGTTCTGCCACTGTTACTGGTCAAAAAAACCTTGAACACAGCTACTACGACCACAAGTTGTTTTGGGGCTTTTTTCCTCAAGAACTAATGGTCAGCATAATCACACCAGAGTATAGTTTACAACAACAAATTCTAATATCAAACTGCTAAGGAAAGAAGCAATCTTTTTTCTCTGCCACTTTCTTCCCATTAAAAAAAAAACAAAAAAACCCCACCCAAAACACAAAACCAACAAGGACTTGGTACAAAGAAGGATATTGAAGACTGTCTTTTAGTTTTAGATAAAAGAAACACAGGTTGCAAAACATGTTTTTTTATAAGTGCGGCATAATTTTTTTCTTTCTAAATCACTACTGGGATTAGATCACTTTTGTAGCAATATAATTAGGGGAATTCAGATAGCAACCAGATTATTGAGGGGACTGAGGCTTCACACTGCCTCTTTTTGCCTCCTTTTGTTTCTTTCTTTGCTTTTAAACACACCTTGAAGGTGTCTCTTTCCAACAATATATCTGAGGGCCTGTTGGAAGTAGAAGAGAGCTGAAGGAGAAAAAAGCCAGGAGCTAAGTACAGAAAGGACTCTAAAGCTACCTTCACAACTGTTCTACCTGTTTCAAGACCAACAGATTTTCAGTTGTGCATGTGTCAATTTTAAGCATTTGGAATAAAACTTGGTTAACAGCATGAATTCTAAATAGATTTCAAGTTTTTCCCATGCTGCTTTGTGCATCCAATGCGTTAGCTGAGGTGGCAGACTGAAATTATATTTTCTGCCCACTACTAAATAAAAACCAAAAACCCACCCCACACCAAAAGAGAAAGTTCTAAGTTCAGGAGTAGTTGCAGAGGAATTTTATTTCCAAACCCAGGCATGATTCTTGTTTTCCATTTATATCTTGGGGTCCGTGCTGACTTTCACTGAATTTCTACTTCAAACGAACCAAGAAACCTCAAAGGCTAAACTCAGCCAAAATGTCAGCTTTCATCTCACTTAAACCTGAAGCCCTAAATAGAATGCCCTAAATTCATAAACCTGGCTTCAGCTCCAGTTAAAAACGTAACCCGCATTTCGAGACGTGTTATGTTTACGAGGGCTCCACCCATGAGCCCAGTCGTTCCCTCCAATTCAATCTCTAGTTTTAAAAGGTCAGCTTATTTGCAGCGCCTCGAGAACTCCTCGCTTCCAGAGCGGTTTTCCTTCTGCGAAGTCCTGGGGTTTTCTATTAAAAATATTAGTATTTTAAATGCTGTCTATCAGCTAACTCAGCAATTTACATTCTGCTTTGTTTGTGGGTTTAAAAACGAAGAGGTAGAACACGAACTTTAAGTACAAACAGCTATAAATGGTGGAGATACTCGTGCAAGTGTTGGCTGTGAGACGACGAATTAAGCCACACCTCACATCTGTGCTTGAAATGAAAACACACAAAGTTTAACATTGACAGAAGTGAAGTTGTCAAGCCCTTCAACAACGTTCTCTCCCAAGTGGCAGCAATCTAATACACCCTTCTCCGGGTAGGTTTGACAGTCATGGAATTCGGGAATCCATTGCACTAGCTACCGTGGGAAAAATTTGTCCATACCAAATCAGCTGGAACCACCACTGGCACCATCGTGACAGCCGAGAGTGTTTCAGCACTTGCAAAAAACATACCCTCCCTTCTTCCCTACTCTTTTACTTCAGGAAAACTGAGAGAGTAGTGAAGTTACAAACACTGATTTTGTTCCTTTATCTTCTTACATTCTCAATGTTAAAAAAAATAATCAAGCCTACTGGTTTTACTGATTTACATCTCTGCTGTCTCATTCTCTGCAAAAGCAGAAAGTGAACACCACATTCCCTTCCTTGGCTAAGACAGAGCGCATTCATGCAAAGATGGAAAAGAACAAAGGAATTTTGTCATCACGGCAATAACGTGTGAATAATTAACCCTGTCCTGACTAAAGCCAGCACAAAACCGGAACAAAAAACTCTGCATGAAAGGGAGATCAGGGAAAAGAGTATTACGGAAAGAATAATCCCCCGTGAGGTAGAGCTCTTGGAATGGTAAGGGCCCGACAACACATAATAACAGCGCGAAGAGATCTGGCCCACAAGACACCAAACAGCTCGCTCAGGTTTCTTCACTGTTTCCCCACGTGGGACTGATTGGGCAAGGATACTTTCTGGAGTAATTGCCTTCCAATATTATCTTACTAAAGAACTGGTTAGGGAAGAGATCAAAAGAGCAAGCATGAAGCAAGATCTCCACCTTCAGAAATGGAAGACTCAGCAGCTGAAGGATTTGGGTGAAAGACTGACACAACACGGGACACTGGGGAAAAAAGCAAAAGGTGGAACCCACACAAACCAACCCACCCAGACCCCATAAAGCCAGGCAAAATAGATTCTCTAGAACTAAAGGGAAAGCTCATGCAACTTTTCAACCTACAGCTCAGGCACAGCTTTTATCTCTGGTCAGCAAGGAGGGAGGAAGAAAGAGCAAAGCACAGCTTGATTAGCTGAGACAAATAATTATTTCTAAAGCAACCTCCTCCCCACCTCACTTTTCGTCAGCAGTCATGAGTGTTCCACCTCATTCTGTGATCCTTTGCTCATTACTGTAAAGCATGAAACTAGAGCATTGTGGTCACTCCTTGTGAGACATCAGGAGGATAGTAAAAAATTATCTGAATCAGCAAGAGATAAGCCACAGTTTGGTTTGCAAACCACTTCACTGGATATACAAGCATTTAAAAGAAAAGTCAACAACCAGTTAAAGAGAAGATCCATCTGAATGCAGATGCTTCCCCCCATGGATCACTAGGCAATGCATTACAGGAAGCACCATCTCCAGGAAGTTCAAGTATTCAGAACTTAAAAAACCCTGTCAAGTCAGAACTTAGAAATACAACTACAGCTGCCACGTTCCCAAGACCTAAGCTTTGCGTTTTGCACCAAAAAGCAGGGGAGAGACAACACCACTGCTTCCAACACCTGATTTATTTCACCTGGGGCCATACCTGGGTCAATGAGGGCCATACTTGCTGCTGTTCTTTTCTTGACAGCTTCACCCAAGTACTCCCACAGATTCACAGAGTGGAAGGGGTTGGAAGGGACCTCTAGAGATCATCTAGTCCAACCCCCCTGCCAGAGCAGGATCACCTAGAGTAGATCACACAGGAACAAGTCCAGGCGGCTTTGGAAAGTCTCCAGGGAAGGAGACTGCACCAGCTCTCTGGGCAGCTTGTTCAGTGCTCTGTCACCCTCACAGGGAAGAAGCGTTTCCTCATGTTCAGGCTGAACCTTCTGTTTTCCAGTTTATGGCCATTGCCCCCAGTCCTGTCACTGGACACCACTGAGAAAAGCCTGGCCCCATCCTCCTGACACCCACCCTTCAGATATTGATAAGCATTGATAAGATCCCCCCTCAGCCTCCTCTTGTCCAAGCTAAACAGACCCAGCTCTCTTAGCCTTTCCTCATAGGGAAGGTGCTCCAGGCCCTTCATCATCTTAATGCCCTGCGCTGGACCCTCTCCAGTAGTTCCTTGTCCTAAAAGCCTCTTTGGTATTATCCAGTGGCTGCTTCTTTTAAGGGTTCTAAAAGACAGGATGCTTGCCTGAGCTACCCAGCTTCCACTGCAAAGAATCCTCCAGTGGGTCCTGAAACACCACAGCCCAAAAGGGAGTTTTAAGGCGAGTGAATGCTGGAATGCTTTCTCTCAAACCCCAGCACTGTTGGTGGCAGGGACCCAGGAGCTGCACGGAGTTACAGGTTAATCAGCATCTGCAAAGCACAGATGGGGCACTGGCTAGAGGCAGTGACCTTGAGCAGGGAAGGCTGACAAGAAGTGTAGGGTTGGGTCAACTGGATTAATTTAGTATTCACTGGCATTTCCAAATAATTACTCTGCATTAGGCTAAGATTATATTCATAAGCTCATACATGATTATCTACATAGTTCAAGGGCAAAAAAAGGGAGAAGCAGAGGGGGGAACAGCTTTCTCTGGCAGATAAAGCCAGAAAACATGAAGTCTGAAATGTGTGATTAAATTAACATGCTCACTATACTCAGTTAAGACAGACAATGAGATGGGTTTTTTCTCCTATATTTTCTTCAACAAGAAGAATTAAACTTCATTTCCCACCAGAAACATGGTACAACTGTTTCCTTACACTGCAGGTTCAGAAAGATGGGGAACTCTGGCTCTGTGTTAGCCTTGTGAGAATCCCATTCTAAATAATACTTCAACAAAACAAAACATAAAAACCCAACCCCCAAAACAACCCACCACAGAAAAACATACTGTTTTTGAAGGAGCTGCCTTTTAGAGAGGATCTCCTCTAGTGTAGCTCCAGGTTAACAAATTCCATTACATTCTAGTACATAACAAAAAGATGAAGCATAAGACAGGCTTTAAGAAAAAAATCCAATGAAGTTACTAGACATCTGTATCTTTCTCATCCCATTCCCTAACTACTTTACCCCTGACTTCAAAAGTGAAATGCTCTTAGATAAGCGTATACAACACCTGAGACGCTGGTCTGGCTAAACATGGAAAGTTGTTTAGAAAGTGTACTATGAGAAGTCAGATAATTTGGAATGAATCAGTTTTACACCTGCACCTGAAGCCAGAACGTTAGTTCATTAAATCCACTTTGTGATTCTGCAGATGCAAATGGAAGCGCACCAGCCCCGCTTCATTTGCGGGATGGTCACTTTACGCAGCTCTCACAGAAAAAAGGTGACGTTAGCCTACCAAGTCTCAAAATGAAGACAATATAAATGCACAAGGAACAGTATAAAATGACAAACCAACTTTAAAAATAAAACTGCTGCATATTTACCTTCGTTTCCCAGGAGAACGGAGCCGAGTGTTCATCTTGCCAAGTTATGTCCTGAAATAAAATAAAATAATGACTAAAAATCGGAAGACAGGAGCATCATACACAGGGAACATTGATTAGTGTATCAATTTAACCTCCAAAATATATGAAACCTGGTTTAAACCTCTTGAAACAGTTTCTCTACAAATAGCTTTAAAACGTATTTCTAATTTTCTACTAGGCATTTCCTCTGGTAGCCACTAGCAACATACAGAGACAGAAATAACAAGAGGAGCGGGGGGCCTTAGGGATATCAAGTCTCATTTTCTCCCCTCCGCAGACCGAAGGGCACACGTGCAACCAGGCAGTCACGTGGCGGCGAAACAGCTGCACATCTGTCAGGCCAAGCCACAGCTGGATCCAGCCCTGACAAGGCACATCATTATGCCACTTTAATGACGATCTGTCTGAAGAAAGCATTTGGTGCTGTGGAAGAACCACACAACGTCCAGAGTAAAATCCCAATCTGAAACCGCTGCTTTTAAGAAGTTGTTTTCCTGAAAAGAATCCCAAGTTGAGAAATTTAAATAAACTCTTCATACACAGTTTGGCATCCAGAAAGACATGCAACCTGCTTGGCCACCCCAGTGCATCAGGGCAGGAACAGGAGTCTGAGCAGCAGATGGAAGGAGAAAGGCCAGGAGCAACCACACAGAGGGAAGGAGAAGACAAGACATGACCCAGAGTGCTTGTTTCACACTCCTGCTGTTCCAAGAATAACAGAACTAGACCATGTTTTAAGCTAACACAGGACTGACACATCTCACTGTGACTGCCCTTTTCTTCTTTCTGACCTCTGCCTTTATAGAAATACACGTCTCAGACATCTGATAGCATTCTCCTATCTGCCACCTCTTATTTCACACTAGGTAGATTTTGCTGGCCAAGGGCTATGAAATCCCAATTAGAAGTGTCTGAAACCATCTCCTAAACATGAAAACGTGTCATTCTCCAACTATTACTCATCTGTGAATCACAGGTTTTCCAGCAGCAAAGTACTTGTGGTGTATATGAAGGTGATCCCATGCTCAAACAGAACTGGGCTGAGCAGAGACCATCTAAGAGGAAAGGCCTGGGCTCTGAGGGCCCACACACTCTGGCCAAAAAGGAAATCTGGTACAGGAAAGTCTTGCCAATAACACAATACCAGGATCTCTCATTCTAGGAAATGGACACTCATATTTATTAACACTCAAGGGAAACAAAGTGAGCAGAAGTCTGCTTTGTGGTATCTGTTCTAACCTCTATCGGTATTTGCACCGTGGAGCGCTGCTGACTACGTGGGAAGGGCACAGCTCTTGGCTGGGATGCCTCAATGCAGGCGAGTGCTAACTTATTTCAAAATCATTTTAGGACCGTATCCTTTGCCTCTGAAACTGGGGGAGCCAGCACTTCATTTCTGAAGCACACGTGACAGGAATCACAGTCCAGGAGGGAAGTGAGACAGAAGAGTCCAGTCACTGGACTGAGTCTCACACATTGGAAGTAGAACCACAATCCTTCTGTCCACGTGGGGACAGATCAGTGCTGGACTTCAACCACTGCAATAAAGGACAGAAGTGAAGTCCGGCGACCAGTGTAACACTCCTACATGCTGTCACAGTACTTTAAAATTCCAGACACGTAGGCATAGCTGTCCATGGGCTTTACCTAACAAGTTTAAAGGAAGCTCTGACTTCTTGCTGTTTATAGGACATGCAAACCAGCCGTGATCCAGTTTTAAATTTGGAAGCTAGCCAAGACCATCCTCATCCTGGATTCCGAGACAGACAGTTCTTTATTTTCCTGTATTTGAAGCAAGTGTAGACAGCACCTCTTCATCCAATGCTCCCTACACATCCTCACCCCAGCAACACCACCACTCCTGTGAGCAAGCCCCACTGACAAAAGGCTCACCCACAGAGGGACAGGAAAGCAGCGTGGGGAAAGCAGAGTGAAGGTATGAGGTGGCTGTGCACCAGGATACATCCTTCCCTACAGGACGGAGCAGCTCAGCTTCCCACTTCCTAGAATCTGACGTCTTCTCAACCACCATTGCATTTGATGGCACCTCAACTTTCAGGTTAGGTAGACAAAAAGCTCCCGAAATTAATGAACAGTATTTTGGTACCAGTTGTTAAGAAGTACTTGTCAGGGACAAAAATCTACGACTTTCATAGATTATTTCAAAAGACAGAAGTAGTAGACACTTGTTAGGCAGGAACAGCTCACTGAAAGAGAAGGACCATAGACTTTTCTTCTTAAAAGGATGGCTCATTGTATCGCAGGCTGCAGACCCCAGCGCACCTCAGAGCCAGTAAGTGAGGAGATGTGCCCACATTCAAGAGATCTTCCATGGGACCTAGCCAACAACAAAACAGCGTAAGAGATGGTTTGAAGATACAAAGCTTCAAGGAGTTAGTGTCTGTGCTTATTTGACATGTAGGATGGAGGAGACAGTTGTCAGGTTCTGTCCATTGTCAGGGAAGGGAAGGAAGTTTGTGGCTTCCAACCCTCGTGCCCTCGCACAGAGGACATGCAGAAAACCAAGTCAAGCGGGAGAACAACACACTTCCACAGTTTCCTATCTGATGTGCCTGATTCATACTTATCACCAACAAAGCCTGAGAAATAATTTGGTTTTCTGTAGAATAAACGAGTTCTCACAAGCCGGAAGAAATTGGGAGCAAAAGCATCAGCTATTTTAATATTCACAAAAGTAAATTAGGAGTGGAAATTCTAGAGAAAAAGGCTTCAAGGCTATTTATCATCAAAACAGATTAGAAGAGATCTGCATCTGATCAGCTTTTGTTTTCAGCAAACAACAAAGCCTTCTTCCAGAAAGAAGGCAAATAAACAAACTCTTGTTCACCAGCGTTAAAGAACCCATTTGTAAGAAACAGAGCCTCATGCAACGTATTTCATAGCTAAAAAAGAAAAAAAAGCGAGAGGGTCAAAAATGTGATCATACACTTGACTTCAACTACCAGGTGCGGAATATGTAAGAAAAGAATCTCAAACTACATTTGCTATATGAAGGCTGCTTGTTGAAATTCGGATGCTGTTTTGCAAATTGGAAGACACTGGTAGAAAAGCGCTGGCCTATTTGACATGAGCATTGTCATAAGCATGAAGTGTTAAGAAGCAAGAAGAGGACTTGCTGGTTACTAAGGTTTAACTGCACTCAAAAGCTGCCCTGCACCATTTGTGGTTTTTTTTTAAAAAACACAAATCTATAACAGGCCCAACATAAAAGCTATTCCTACATGGAATATTTGTTGCTTTAAAGAATTTTGAAATAGGAGATAAAAGGGTTGATCCTTTGGCTTGGTGCCAAACTTCTCACAGCTAAGCAAAACAAATACTCCATCTGTTTTCAGGTAGGTAAGTCAAGCTTCCCTAATAAAAGATGATGAGTGAAGCTAACCAAACTCTCCTCCCTGTCTTTCCTGCACGCAAAATGTTTACCACTTCATAAAGCACAGGGCATTTTCTTCACTGAAAAACTTAGTTATTTCAAGTCCAATTCTCTTCTGTGCTCAGACCACTCAAATATTCAATATCCCTTTAAAACAAACAAAAAGAACTAAAAAAACCCTCCACCCCAAAACAAAAAAACCCAACCAACCGCACAAAACCAAAACAACACACCACAAAAAACCACAACAACAAACCTTAAATCCATGTATATATCACTCACTCACAGATAAAGAGGGACAGTATTAAGAGAAGACAGAGAAATTGTTGTAAACTGAATGTCTAAACTGTCTTTCACTGAACTAAACAAGGAGGGTCCAGTGGCATCAGCTAACACCAAATCAGATGCTTAACACGAGCTGACCACTACAGTGGTCAAAGGGTGTTAGCCTCTCACACACTGCTCTTTTTCCACCTATTCCCCTCGTGATGGCTCATAATTTACGGTGCATTTCAAAAACCAGCCCATTTATATTACATTTATATTCAGTCCTGGATTCTATTTCCAGATTTCCCTCTGCTTAGTTAACCTTATTTCCTACCACTACGAACATCAGACATAAATGGAGAAATTCCAGCAGCTGGAGGCTTGTTGGGAAAGAGGAAGCTCTGCTTGAAGGCTGCAGCCTCCAAAAGCCCTCAACCAGAAGGCCAAGGCTGTCTAGACACAGGCAATGCTAGTGAAGCAACAGTCTCCTGGTGTGGGGCCCATGTGCAATCACAAGTCAATCTTCAGCAAACAGGACAAAACTTCTTTCACAGGGCTGTCAAATGACCCCATTTGTTTGGGAGAGATGAAAATATATGCATGTCCTACATCATGTGACTCTAGAAAACCAAACAAGATGAAGAAACAAGAGCTGTTAGGTTTCATTAGAAGGAGGTGTTGGAAAATACCACGGCCTGCAAGCCCATCAAGGTTATTGCGCTGGTGTGTTCTGTTTCGTGTAGGAAGTCGTGACACCGCGAGGCTGACGGTGGACACGTCATGGCTGGTGACAGCAGTTAGGGGCATCCTCACCACGACAGTGCGGTGCACACGGGCAGACATCAAGTGAACTGGGTGCCACCCAACCCAGCTCCATTTTGTGGAGACAAACGCCCTTCGGCGAATCAGGGAGCCAGATTCCTGTACTTCCACTTCTTTCATCGAGCTTTTTGAGGGGTCTTTAAATACCATCAGTTCTTTCACAGCAAGATGGCAGATTAAAAAAGCAGCGCCGGTGTCCTGGCACCGGTCTTCTTTAGGAACTGCATTCACAGTGCACGTACAGCTTCCCTTATTAACTATGACTGGCAATGCCGCAACGAGGGTGAGGTAACGAGAGAGAAGGAGCAAAGGCCCTCAGCTGACTCGAGGCGTTTGCTAAGGGTCACACGTGGTGCTGCAGTGCTACAGCACTAGAAGACGACTGGATCAGGGCTACAGGATGCCGCAGTCCTGTTACTGCACATCTATTTTCTGTCATAGCCTTCCCACACAGCCAACATTCTGAAAGGTGTTTTGAAAATGTAAGAGATGCTTATACTTGGAGAACTTAGAGCTCTGG